AAAAAACCACCCCACCCCCCCCCCCCCCCCCCCCACGGAGAGCAGTCGTTAATGGATCCTTGTCATGGGAGCCAGCAGTTAAAAATAAATGCAAAACAGCTGTCGTGAAGTTCATAGATTCACAGATGCTAGGGTTGGAAGGGACCTCAACAGATCGAGACTGACCTCCTGCCTAGGCAGAAAAGAGTGCTGGGGTCAGATGACCCCAGACAGATACCTATCCAGGCTTCTCTTAAAGACCCTCAAGGTAGGGGAGAGTACCACCTCCCATGGAAGCCTGTTCCAGATTCTGGCAACCCTTACCATGAAGTATATACTTAAGTTAACATTCTTTACCCACAAAGTGTCTTGCCTCTCTTACTTTAGCTCGTTCTTGCATCTCATTTCTATCAACAACATCCTCAGTTCTTCTGTGGGCTTCCTGAGCATGATGTTGTCTCTTTTGTAACAGGGAAAAAAAGGGAAATTTAGGGTGGAATTAAGTTTGTCTGGATACTGGTTATTAAGAGTTTTTTAACAATCTGGGTGTGTGCCTTGTATTATAAATACTAGTCTGTTAGTTTGATTGTGACTTCTGAACAGTTTAATGTTTGATAGAGTGTGTGTGTGTGTGTAATTTTGTTTAATGTATTTTCTCTTAAATTGTACTCTGAACCTACCTGTAGCTCTGAGGGGGGTTGGGGAAGGAGTGTGTGAGAGAGAGAGAGAGACACAAACTAGATTTTATATTTTTTGTCATGTGAAGGAGCATCACTTCTGCATGATGCCGTTTGGATACTTTCTTCTTTAAAGGTATCTTAGAATAGTGTTTTTAAATTGTATTTTTTCCTTACAGATTTATGTTAAACTCTGAAACTACAACACTAGTATAAATCCTACAAAATACTAGATAATTCTGCTTGCCTAATTTTTTGCTCTATGGTATGAAATCTGAAAATGAAAAGGAATTAAGCCAGATCATACCCCCCAAGTCAATGTGGGGGTCTCCCCATTGATTTCAGTAAGAGTTAGGATAGTTCATATAAGTGTTAAGGTTAATAAATTATGTTATTTTATGACCTTGGGCAAGTTCCTGAGCTCTGATGTTGACTTCAGTGATTTTGCATGCAGTAAGACATAATGAAGAGCTCTTAATGTATCAACTGAAAAATACACTGTAGGAACCTGATCCAGAAAACACCCACTTATACATATGAGTAACTTTAAAATACATTAAAGTCAATAAAACTTCTCGTGACTACTTGTCTGAGAAAAATTACTCATACCCATAAAGTTTTTCCTGTTTTTTCTTAGTGTTTAAAGGTGTTTATAAAACCAAATTTCAGCATAACTTTAATACCATCCAATTATCATTAATGAATCTATTTATATTCTTATCTCATTGAGACAATGAAACCTTGCAGAATTTATCACTTTAGATACTTTAACTACGTTGGTCCTTTTAACAACTGTTTTATATTCTTTATTCTTTACAGGTTCTGATCAAGACAATCATTTAATGAACACCAGGTCTCAACAAAAGAAACCTCGCTCCCTGTCTAGTGTTCCAACCTCAGCAGAACTTTGCCAGACAATTCAGCATACTCCTTATAGCAGGTATCTGAAAACATAGTGCCTATCATTACTTTTTAGTTTGAAACCATTGACTTGAAGTAACAGTGACTAGAGAAAGTGATTTTTAGATTGGAGAAGGCATGAACTAAACGTTTTGATCGGTAACAGTTTTGTTTCATATTTTATCCCATTTGCTTTAATATATTATTCTTTCTCTTATTGTAAACTGCTCTGAGCCCCTGTTGGTAAGGGCAGCATATAAAGCTAATACATAAAACAAATATTATAATCTATTAAGGATGATTATTAAACAAATCTTAAGGTACCATCCCATTTTTTTTTATATTTATAAAGAGTATACTAGTTACACTGTAACTTTCTTTCCAGCAGTCCATGTGCTATATCAAATAAAACCACTGAAGAGAGCAAGCCAAATCAGTGGGAGGAAATCTACAGAGAAGAAACTGAGTAATGCTTCAAGATGTAGATCACAAGAAGATTATAGCTGATACTCTGCTGCATATAAACTCGCACATAGAAAATAAACTGCCTTAGACTTCCTAGGGTTGTCTGCTATTCTGCTATCTTTTGTTAACAAGATGTGTCCATACACTTTCTTTCTAAGGTGAAACAGTGTGTTGTGCGTTTGGTCCTCTTTTCAAAGAGTTAAGAGATGGTCGGGGGCGGTATATGTGGGAAATGCGGTGACTGGCTCTTTGTTTTGTTTTTGTAAAGACAGTTTCTTGCCCTTTATGTGTAATTTTGAAAGATTTTATTTTAAAAATATAAAAGCTTTGGATATTTTTCTAGCAACAGAACTCTGATTCTGTGAATGAAGGAATGTATGAAATTTTCTGGTTGTAATGAAATACTGAAACCGTAGCGTTTCCTTTCATCACAGGCAGAGGCAGCACTTTTAGGAATTGTTTAATTATGGTAAACATTCATTTTTTGTCTCAACTGTAACTGTCATATTTTTTTTGCCTCAACTTGAATGTACAGTAGATTTTTAACAAAACAGGTTCTATATTTATTAAGTCGTGTGATTTGAAATTATCTCTTTGATATCTTTCCGATGACTAAAGTGCAAGATCTTTATATGTTTGTAAATATACAATATAAGTGATTATGCTAAGATGCCACAAAATGAAACATGCATCCATAATCGTAGTATTTTACATGCCAATTTAAACTGTTTTATAGTGATATTCTGTTTACAGATGTATTGGAACTGTCAGTGTTTCAGTCAAGAATTGAATTCTTTGAAACATATTTGGGAAATAAATGTGCAAAGCATATCCTAACAAATATAGCTCCATGTTTTTTGTGGATTTAATATTTATATTAACCAGTTGTATAATAATGATTTGTTTATGTTAGCAAATATGCGTGTATTTTTCCTTGGAATGGACTCCAACTTAAGGAAATCGAGTTCGCTCATAACCATATGCAGTGGCCATACAGACCATCCCCTGCTTTGTAGGGTTTAAGTCTGCCTTTTCTTGCAAAGTCCTGTTTCATATATGTCAAAAATAAAACCCTTATGACCCCATAATTTTTGTAAACGTAAGTCTTCCTTTTTGTCGTTCTCTCCCTCCAAATTCAGGAATGCTGCCATGTCTTTGGAGAGATCCTGAGAACTTTACTTCAGTAAGACTAAGGGAAGGAAATGAGCTCAAGACCTACCCCAATAAGTCACTGTGCAAAAGCTGACATTGCATTATATTACATTGATACTCTCAGGCAATAAAGGATATATTTCATTAAAGTTCCCAATCAATGAGTAAAGCAGAATGTACTAATTCATTTGTATACATATGGAATTGTTGCTCCCTCTAATCTAATTAGTTGGTTATTCAATATCTGTAGTATATGCCTGAGGTAATACCAGTATGCCACTAGATGCTGCTATTGCTTTGAAGTGATTAAGCAGTGTTAAATAGAAACTTTTTTTCTGGTAAAGAACTTACTGGGACTCTTAAGCTACACAATTTCACTGGTGCTTTTTAGATAATTATTATTTTTCAAGGATAAAATAAGCTTGTTAATTAATCAAAACCCCTTATTTCTTGAAAAATAGCACCAAGGAGCTGCAATAAATTGAAAATTCTGCAGACCCTATCCAGTGCAGTTGTAAGGCAAATCTTAGGTGAAGCCACAAATTTGTAAATGTAGTGCTAATGTATTTGTTATGCCTCTATGGAAGGGCTAGCTGTGTTCAACCCATGTATGCCGTTAAGTCTCCTGGTGGCTGGTAAGTCAATTTTTTTAGATCTGCCCATACATAGAATGCCTGGCAACTGTAAAACTACAGGCTTACAGTATCTGGGTTAGTGTGTGTGTGGTGGCTGGAGAGTTTCTAAGTAATATATAAATACTGGTATCTAATGATGGTGATATGGATATTTTAAGTGACCTGATAAATGGTAAGCTTATAACTATGGTAAGTTTTTATTAGAATATCCTATATGACTACATTGACCTAGTTTAATTGAAGGCTGTCAGAAGAGCAAACAGAACAGCCGCAACACAGACCTACAGAAGAGCATAGGCAAGCTTTTAACTTCGAGGATCCAGTTTCCCAACAAACTGCAAGCCTCTCCAAAGCTTTTAAATCTGTAGATAAAAAGATCACTACATACATAAAAAGTCCTTGGATGAGACAAGGGGGTTTGACTTGTTCGAAGCTGTCTAAAGTGATGAGCTGACACAGAGAGGGATCTGTAGAGACTCTGAAATGGAGTTTTCCTGTATTCAGAAAAAAGGTAAACCTAATTGAGCACTTTCCATTCTAAATGAGCAATAATTAGCTCCTTTAAAGCAACCTGGTTGCTGACCCACAGTCAACTTGGTGAAGTAAGAGTGCCACATAGTCTTTAACCAGCACCTAGTAATACTGATGCTAAGTGACTTTGCACCTTAAATGATGGGTAGTTACCTGTGTTAGTCAGAAGTCAGGGAGAAGGCAGGGCAGAGTGGTGCTTTAGGGTGCCTGGAGATGTGGGACGTCTGTTCCGACACACTGTGATTATAGCATGTTGGAGCAGACTCTATTAAGTCTTCTGGAGCGTGGTAATTAGTGCAATTCAATAGCCTCAGCATCTCGTATTCAGCATCTCACACTGCAAATGGCAGCAGAGGCGCTTTAACTAAAGGTCATTGGATGAGCTTGTTGAACAAGCTTTAGTTAAAGGGCTGCTGCTGCCATTTTGAAGCACGGGACACTGAATACATGTGATGCTGTGGGTGCTTTAATTAGAGCGGCTCCTAAGAACTACTCTAATTAAAGTGCCTCTCCCTACTTCTGGTGCATGTGTAAAAATGCCCTTACAGACTACTTCAGAGGCTTACGCTTTCTTGGGTAACAGGCTACTTCTTCGGATGCTATGAATTCACATGATCTTAGGGCCCCTCTACATGTGCAGATAAATGTGCTATGGGATTTCGCATGTAATCCATAGAATTACAACTCCTGCCATGCCACGTGTAGCAGGAGGCATAATTGTGGGATCATGCCTTAGATCCCGTTGTGTCTTATTGTCAGTGCAGGGAGCCCTCAAGGCTGGAAGACCATAGCAGAAGCAATATCCAGCCCCAGGGGCTCTACACGCCTCCAGGGCTCGGAGATCACAGCCATACCCCAAGGCTGCTGGGACCCAGCTGGGTCAGGCACCACGAGGTGCACTGCCAGCTTTGGGTCTTTGCATTTTCAGGGTGCTGCTGGGACCCAGAGCTGGTAGCTGCTGGGCTTGAGAGTCCCCTCAGCTGTGGGACTCCCAGCCCCAGCTGTGCATGGTGCTCCCCTGTGGCTGGGAGACCCTGACACATGCAAACTGAAGCTCAATAGCAACCAGCTTTTAAGTTAGTACATATTTTTGAGATCTAACTTTATAGCTGGTTGGAGCTTTTTATGGCATGATAAGTACTTTGCACATGTAGCTGGTTTCAAGATAATTGCACAATTAACAGTTAATTGCAAGATACCTGTAATGTGTAGAGGGGGCCTCTGTCTATTTTGGATTCAGTACTGAGGGTCACAAATGACTATCATCAAATTATGTAGCAATATTGCATAATAGTCAAAAAATTAAAAGCTGTGCTAGGATTTTGATATCTAGAGCCCCGTCTGCTTTCTGTGAAGCAGGAGGAATAAAATAGCGTATCCATTAAACCATAATATAAATATGAATTGCATGTGCGTGTTGCTAAGTTCTGAATTGCCCAGAAGAGATCCAGCTCATTTCATGAACTTAAAGATTTCTTTAACTTCAGTAACTACTCAATTTCTCTGAACTGAAGAAACAGAAACTTTGAGCTCTAAAAAGAGGGGGTAAAGCAAAACCATCAATATGAAAAACACCCCAAGAGACTAACTGAAGCTTCAAGGGCTGTGTCCGAATGAACGTAGACGTTTGGTTGCCCGGGGACAACTAGCAGCGGCACAGCTTGTGCTGCTACTATGTGTCCCCAGGGAACGCCTGTGCCACGCGCCCTCTGGTGTGTGGCAGGTTACCCTGGCTGGGGTTGGGGAGGCTGAGGCCAGTAACTGCTGGCCTCAGCAGACTTACCTGGAGTCCTGGGGGACAGAGAAGCTGCAGCCATGTGTCACTCCTGCAGCTGGGAGCCTGGCCTGCAGCTGGAGTGCAGCCCCAGCCAGCTAGGCTTCAGTTTTGGGTGGCATATGCTGCATCCACATGTGCTGCCCCCCTTTTTTTCTGTGTGGGTTTTTTTGCCCCAGGATCTCCGGGAACACCTGAATGTGCGATGTGTGGCACCACAGACATGTTTGCAGCGCCACGTACCACACTGCCCCACTCATCTGGAAGCAGGCAAGTTCTCTAGACTTTCCACTCCTTGTTCTCATTCTTATTTTACTAAACCTCAGGCTGTTCCACTGTGCGTGTATAAGGCATGAACCAGTGCAGAACAGCCCTAGAATTGTGGGGATGTATAAACCTTAAATTTCCCTGAATTGTGCTGATGTTCTTCTCTTTACGGCTCTGGAACTCTTGCTACTTAAAACATTAGAACATAAGAATTGCCATTTATGGGGTCATTTATGGGGCCATCTTGCCCAGTATCCTGTCACATGGACAAGCCACTGGGGACCTCAGCTGATAAGCCATTGCTTCATGCATGTATCTAGCCTGCTTTATGGACATCCCCGACACCTTTCCCTTTTTCCAACAGAGGGAGACCCTGGCGCATGCCTACCTTGAGTGCGCCAGGTTGCAGCCCCTCTTCTGCCTCCTCCAGAGCTTCCTGCTAAGGGTCTGGCTGCACTTCTCCCAGCACCCTTTTTGGTTGCACAATTCCTGTCCACAGTCCAATTGAGTCCTAGGACCTCCTGGTCAATCTCTTCCTGGCTCTGGCCAAGCTGGCCATCTACAAGACCATGAAGGAAGCTCTGGCTGGGGCAAACCCAGGCTCTCTTCCTGGCATTCCCCCTTCTCATGTCTCTGGGCAGAGTTTCACTGCTTGGCATCCAAAGGCTCCCTCAACCTGTTCAGGGACCAGTGGATGCTGGCCAGTATCCCCTTCCAAATCCCTTGTTATTAACCTGTGACCTCACTCCCATCCTTGTTTTCTTTTTTATTATTCCAAGTATTTATTTGATGTGTCCTCACTAGCCTCACTTCTTAAGGGAGGCTTATAGTTTTCTGTGATGGGCTAAGGCCTATGACCCCTTGGCACATCAAATGGTTTTGTGTCACATGGTGACAGAGTGTGGATGCTGAAAGAGACAGTGAGCTGGGTATGACCAAGTTTTTTTCCACTTCCTCTCTCACTTGCAGTCTCCAGCATTTTCTAGGAAATTCTGATTCAGTGGCTCCCTAGCGCCCATATTTGATTTACTGGAGGTAATAGTGAGTTAATTTTAGGGGAAAGAAGTTACTGTTACTTAGCTTGCAATTTGTACATTGAATTTCCTTTCTTAAGTGACAGATCTCCGTATCTTTTTAATAGGACTGTCAATTAATCACTGTTAACTTACACAATTAATCCAAAAACAAATTAATGCTTTAATTTTTTTAATTGCGTTAATCGCGCACGTCTTTTTGACCAGTGGAGTGGACCAGCTCCAAACCAGCTGGGACCCATGTGCACAGCCCCGCCCCCGCCCCGCCCCGCCCCTGCTTCAAACTCACCTGCCCATACTGAGCAGCAGTGACAGCGGCTGGGGCGAAACCGGTACCTGGGAG